GACAGATGGAGGAACTATTACTTGCTTTGAGGAAAATTAGGTCATCAGCAGATAATCATTTTCATGTAAGTGTTTTCCAATTAACTTTTGCTCAAAGAAATCATTTAGGTTAAACTTAGTTATCTATTTTCTGCAGTTGTCACATGTGAATCAGTACAACAATTGAGGTAAGAGGCCAATGCTGAGCCAATAGAAATGTCAATTCTTACAACATTGGCAGGCTATCCCAAACTATGTTACTACCAATAATTTACTTTGAAAGGTCAGCGTTGTCACTGTTGTTCTGTACACAACAGCAAATCAGTACTTAAGGGTACAACATCTCCACAAATGTTGTATTCCTCAATAGTCAACTCAAGTGCCAACGTGAGTAATATATTCGACAATAACCTCCATTTATATAACAACATCAAAACCTTTCCAAAGGTAGTTCACAGATGTATATCACAGAAAAATGGATGAATGTTGGAAAAGAGACATTAGGAGGGGTAGTCAAAAGTTTAACAAAGGGATGAAATCTAAGAAAAGAGAGAGTTGGGGAAATAGAAATTTGTGGAGGAATTTTCAGCAAGTGCGGCCACTAATGGTGCAATGGAATGAGCAACATATCCAGATTCAAAATGATGTAGAATTTGGGCAATGAAGATATGGTTTACAAATAGGGAGGGACAAGGATCATGAAATGATTTAAACATGAAAAAGGGAACAACAGTTTCATTTGTGTAATGCCTTCAACACATTAATATGTCACAATGAATTTTTGAGTACAGTTCCCAAACAAAAATGGATGGAATATTTAACGTTGAGCCATTTCAGGAAGGATTCATGCACTTGGTGAAAGGAATAAGTTTCAAGAAGCATTATAAAGGAATAAGTGGAGAATTAAGATGAACTGGAGAGGCAGAGAGGATTAAGACCCCTTGAACCTACATTACTATTCCATAAGTTTCTGGCTGATCTTTGACCTTAATACCACTTTTATGATCCATCCCCACATGTCTTAATTCCTTAGGCTCCAAAGATCTTTAACTCAGCCCTAATATAATTATCAATTGAGCAATCTGAATTAATTGACCTCTTGTCCTGCGGACTATGCTCCAGAGTTCCAAAACACTAGTCAGAGAAACCAATTCTTAGCACTTACCTTTTCAGGCTTTCATGGGATCTTCTAAGTATCAGTGAGATCACCATCACTTCTGATTCTTCTGAACTCCAGACAAAATAAACCCAATGACCTAATTCTCTCATCACAGGGCAACCCTCTCATCACATTCCAATGAACCTTTGCTGCTTCATCTCTTGTCCAATTATGTCCCTGTGTAGGTTCAGGGAGCAAAGTGGTACGCGGTATTCCAGAAGTAGCCTCACCAAAACATGGTTAGCAAAATTGGTTGGCACTGAATTCAATTGCACCAGAATAAAATCTGCAAAGAGAGAACCTTTTTCCCTATTGAATTCAACTTTTGTTTGCTTCAGAGCTAAAGCCAAAGCAAAACTAATGGCTTAATATGTTCACACTACCTGTCATAAAGTCAAAAGTATAAACATCTTCTCCATTAAAACCACTGGAATCTACTAGGTACTTGACTACAGTCACATCTCTTCTTGGAACTGATGCAATTAGGTCATTGTTCCAGAATGGCTTTCTGACCTTTTAAGAAAATCTCATAGCACAAACTCCTATCCTTGGGCCTCTCTTTTTAAAACAATGCAAATTACAAAAAATATCATGGCCAAAGTACATTTTAAGATCACCAACATTCTGACAGGTCTGGTTCAATCTCAGACAGTGTGCCAGGAGTGGGCTAGAGTGGAGAATACTGAATGGAGTTTGTGGCATGGACAAAAGAAAATAATATCACTCCTTCCGATATTTAGCTAGAAGAAATTTTCAACCTGAGGAACTGTGGAACTGACAGCAATGTAGCTCAGCAAGGGTTTGCAGAACTTTCAATAGGATAGCATATAGACAGGAAATGTTCAGCTAAGCTCAGGCCTATGGATGCCAGAAAATGAAATGTCGGATACTGCAGTACCTGAAAAATAATGTGACAAAAGATTTGCAATCAGTTCTGACTTCACACAGTTCTTGCTCCGAGCTGAAAGTGGCGCTAACTGAGCAAACTTGACAGAAGGTATTTTGCTTGTGATTTTTTTAAAAGCTCATTATCATAGGACTTCTGCATTTTGGACCAAGTGTTAAACCAACACAAGACTTCAATTAACAAAATAGAAATTAATGGAGAAACACAGCAGGTCTGGCAGCACCTGTGGAAGGAAAGCAGAGTTAACCTTTTGGGTCCAGAGACCCTTCTTCAGAACTCAGTTGCTGCCAGACCTGCTGAATTTCTCCAGCAATTTGTTTTTTGCTTCAGATTTCCAGCATCCACAGTTCTTTGTTTTTTGTTTGGTGCAAGAATTTAATACATTGTCCAGTAAAAACACCCCACAGTTCTTCCAATATTAATTTTTCACTTAACAGCTCTACATCAAGGCATTCATTGTGGTGCTTTGGTTTGTACTGAACACATAATAAAATGCTACATACATAGAAGTTTTCTACCTTTCTCCTACTTGATGAAATTTAAAATAAAAAGGCAATTTTATTCTGCAGAATGAAAAGATAGATTCATTTTGAGGCACTACTCAAGTTCATGAACTAGTGAAATAAGTTAATTTTCATTTGCATTAGCCCTTACGGCACCTGTATTATTATTCAAAGCGCAGTTACAATTAAAGCACTTCTATAAAACCTCCTTGGAGAAAGGAAATTCCAGTCAGTAACTTTACCAGATATAAAGGCCAAGTTAGAAATAATGACATAGCCAATTATGTGAGTCAACACCTATGCCAGTAACATTACGCAGAGATAATGAGATTGGAATAGGCATCCGGTGACCAAAGTGCATGTTTTTGTGAATTTATAAATGTAGAATGCAAATTTTACGGTTTCCTAATCGTTGATTTTACTCATTTAATTTGGTGCGTTTAGAATGGCTGACACTTGAAGGCAAAATAAATCACAAACTGTGAAGCTTACAAGACTTTACTGAATTAACATCATGTCATTAAAATATGCAGTGAAAAGGATGTTTTGAAAGGGACCTAGCATATAAAACACAACTTCTGAGCAGCTCTCCTCAATTCTAAATTGTCAAATCTCATTGCCTTGAACCCTAACTAGCTCAATTCCATTCTATCTGCCCCAAAAGGCACCAGAGCAGAGATAAGCCTGAAGTCTCACTCTTTCCAACACACATGCACAGTGGCAGCAGTGTACCATTTACAAGACACATTGCAGCAACTCACTAAGGCTATTTTAATGGTGTCTTTCAAATTAGCATCCCCAATACCTGGAAGGGTAGGCAGTATGAGAGGACCAAACCTTTCAAGTTTCCATCCAAGTTACATACCAACCCGACTAAGAAATATATCACTGTGATAACAAGGTGTAGAGCTGGATGAACACAGCAGGCCAAGCAGCATCAGAGGAGCAGGAAGGCTGACGTTTTGGGCCTAGACCCTTCTTCAGAAAATTTTCTGAAGAAGGGTCTAGGCCCG